AGGCGCCACAAGGGCAGCGCGACACGCACTAGGGGGGGGAGGGCGCCTCGGGGAGAATAGGGCGCGCTCCGGGCAGAAAAAAAAAATCGTGGGTGGGCCCAGAAAAAAACGGTCCTTAAGAGGGACCCGCTCTATACCATGAGAAACTGAATGAACAGGAATGAGTGAACTATGAATGAAGGCAGTACAAATATGAAACCCTAACTGGGTTGTACCCCCTATGGGATACCCCACTACAGCCTACACAATAGTATAAGCTATAGATATGTTCTGACACGACGATCCCGACGCTCTCGCTGAGCTGAAGGTGAAGGAGCTGAAGAACGGCCGCCTCGCCATGGTGTCCATGTTCGGCTTCTTCGTCCAGGCCATCGTCACCGGCAAGGGTCCCCTTGAGAACCTGTCCGACCACCTGGCTGACCCCACTGTGAACAATGCGTGGGCCTACGCCACTAACTTCACCCCCGGTGCTTAAAGAAATGCCTCTTTTCTGTACATTTTTTCTCCTATTATACATTAGTTTTCTTACCATCCACTCTAAAAAAAGAGAATCTTTTCGATGATTGCCCAAGCTGCTCAAATCTGAATACCGCCACAGATTTTGATCTTCACACTCTGGCAGTGGCATGCTTCTTTCCCTACTACCTGGCTGGAACGTTTGAACGAATTGACGACAGCAGATAAGTTTCTAAGGGCGTGCCACTAAAATATATGAATGCGCGGGAAAATGAGAAGGAAACTCGATCAGCGCCGTCAGTTAAACTTGGAATTCAGGCAAAGAGGAAAAATAAGTTTCCAACTACCATCCCCTCTGCACCTGCATTGTTTCGACTAGTTCATTGCTGAGCTGGTTGCCTGCTCGCAAGTGCTGTAACGATCAGTTCAAGCAAGCCCGTAATTCACCGCCTGAAACGATCAGCAACAAACCAATAAAATGTGATCAGGTGCCTCTGCACCTCTGCACCTCTTCACCTGCACTGTGACGATGTGCTTTCATGGCGGTTGACACGAATGCCTCGCTGTCACGTTTGATGTTGCTTGCATATGATTGCACGATTGCTAGCGAAACCATTTTGGCTTCACACCATAGGTTTGCCTTGACAACGATTGTGCTGGGATTGTTCCAGTGAACAAACAAACCATTCGTGAAATGCTCTCAGCAATCAGCCTCACCGCAACTAATTCAGTACCACCACGCCCCATCCCAGCTAACCTCATCCCACGAGTCAGCTTGCCTCACCAGCATTCTCGTCGCATGCACGTCTCTGATGTGAACCGCCCAAGCCTTGCGAAACGATTTCGTGAAGTTGCACTCGCACAGTGTTACCAGCAGAGGATTCTGAAGTGCTGGAACTTCGCCAGTCGACACGTAATTTTGTGTGGTCCACACACCTTTTCCCCTTACTATTCTCCTCTAATCATATTGCACACCACGTCACAGGAACCTGATTACCACATTTTTGAAAGGGTAAGTAGCTTTCGCGGGGGTACCACTAGGGACCCCGCGCTTTGTAGGGAGCTACAGTGCCAGCGGGGGGCACTTTCCGCCCCTCCGTGCCTCAGACAGAGGAATTATAGAAACAACACAGAACTCTTCCCCACATTCACCCACGTGGCACAAGTTTCCATGCCAACTACTGCACTGAGCAACTTGTCAACTGTGCACAGTTGACTTTTGTCCCTTCTGCCAAATCGAATCCTCACTCTGGGTGGCTCGGCTGCCACTGTTCCGAAATCTGTTGAGCTAGTTTGTCGCGCCCTAGATTTCGAAACACAGGCCCAGCTCGCCAGACGGAAACGGAGAACACTAGCATTCCGTCTGGTCTACCGTGTGACTGTTTCCGTCAGTGGTTTCAGACACACATCACAGAAACGCGATTTTGCACATGGGCGTTAAAAAAAACAAGTCTCAGATTAGATAGATGGTTGATTCGTAGATGAATATGAATATCGCGGGAAATGAGGGTATTGAGTTTGGTAGTGCGTCTTCGATATCCTTGATGCATTACCGTAATAAAGCATACGGTAGTACTTACCTGATTTTAAAATCGTCATTTTATCAAGCAACTTGATATGCTTACTACAACACGAGACTCTACGAAACGACGAACGAGACACTGTTGGAAGCTTAGTATATCTGTGCGAGAATATGGGCAAAATAAAAAATCCTGTGCACCGCATATGATTCGATGTTCCCACCGTCCAGGTATGAAGCAGGATGTTGACATTGTCTACATTCTCGCTGTTAGTTGTGTCTTGAGGCGTGTGCACGGCATTATGCTCAGAACGCTTTGCTAAGGATAACTTTTGAATCGGTGGACCGATTCATTGCATTACACAGTAAAGTAATAATTACAGGAATTTATTAACAGAACGGCGAATATCCGCTTCATGGGGTGAAGATCTCGGCGTACACCCAGGCGTTGTTCACGGTGGGATCAGCCAGGTGCTCAGAAAGGTTCTCAAGGGGACCCTTTCCAGTGATGATAGCCTGAACAAAGAACCCAAACATCGACACCATGGCGAGGCGGCCGTTCTTCAGCTCCTTCACTTTCAGCTCAGCAAGAGCATCGGGATCGTCAGCAAGGCCCAGGGGGTCGAAGGCACCGCCGGGGTACAGGGGGTCCTCAACCTCTTGGAAGCCCTCGAGGCCACCCACGCGGTAGCTCTCAACGGCACCCATCAGGATGACCTGGGTGGCCCAGATGGCCAGGATGGACTGTGCGTGGATGAGGCTGGGGTTGCCCAGGTAGTCAAGGCCACCCTCGGAGAAGATCTGAGCGCCGGCCTTGAACCACACGGCCTCGCCGAAGTTCACGCCGTTGCCGGCGAGGAGCTCGGGGGTGAGGCAGCCGAGCGCGCCGAGCATGGCCCAGCGAGCGTGGATGACCTGAAGGTAACAAGAGATCATGGTAGACAGGAAGTGAGCGATTGTTACAGGATCTTGTGAGAAGGTATTCTTTAGAAAGTTGTTATTTCGCACGATGTGTACCTAAACTCCGCGGGAATGTATTCAATTGTGACATTAGAGAATTGCCATGCTTACCTCAAGCTCACGGTTCTTGGCGAATGTCTCAGGGTCGGAGGACAGACCAGCGGTATCCCAGCCGTAGTCGCCGGGGTACTCGCCGGTGAGGTACGACGGGGGGGAGGTGAAGGGGCCCAGGAACAGGTTGCGGTCGGGGCCGTAGAAGGCGCTGCTGGAAGCCGCCTTGGCGGTCTTCCTCATCGTCACGCGAGCCTCGACATTGTTGACCTTGGCGGCGAGCTCAGCGCTCTGGCCGACGAAGGTGGAGGGGAGCACGGCAGCGTTAGCGAGAGCGGCCATGGTTTCTGAGCGGTGTCGAATTCGTTGGGAAGCAAGAAATGTGAAGATGTGCAGCTCAAAGAATTCGGCTTGCTTCGGATGGAAAATGGAGCTGCTTTTTGTACTTCGAGAGAGCTGTTGTGGGGGGAGTTGAAGCACTGAAACTTCAGTAGGGCGGAGAAGTGCGGGAGGGATTTACTGTATGGGGGCAAAAGGGGGACGGGAGGGGAGGGTTGCTTGGTTGTGGGTTGGGGGGAGGGGAGGAACGGACATGAAGGGGAAGCAGTGTGGAAGTGGTCCCGCTAGGCGCCGGGAACGAGGGTCTGGCAGAGAATTTCGGTTGATAAAGGTGAATAGATAGAAACGACGATCCGGTAGGATTTGAGGGTTTCTTAAGTGGTGATTACAGCGCGCCAATTGTCGGGGAAGGTGGCCAAGGAAATCTCCTGTGTTGGAAGGAAGAATCGCAGCGCGCCAGTGCCTCTGCTTTGCGAACCTGGCTGCGAAAGTGCTGGATGCATCAGGGAGAATTACGTCTTCCAATCACAGCACACCGCCATACGCATCTCTCGCAGCGAGTGGTCAAAATCGTCAGCCTGAGTTGTCGGTTCCATGGCCGTCGTCTGACATGTGTTGAAGATGCCGCGTTTCAAGCACTCCGCATTGGTTTTATTAAAAAAAAATGTTCTAAGACTTCTCACATGTATTGCAATCACAGAAAGCTTATCACAATGTTTGATTCATCCTTGAGGTCACTAGTGCCTAAGAATCTTCATGATCTACACTAGTGATGCACCCGATTAAAAACAACTTGCTCTATACATGAAGGCATCGAAGATCAATGAATGAACTCATTACTCTACGCTACCAGAGAATGCAGGACACTAGTTTGTATGGTATTTTGAATTACAGTAGCAGGCGTTTCTCAATTCATTGGCAGGCCGAATCACTAGCTCCCATTGCATCTAGTTAGTAGTAGCAGCATCTGCCAATGGGTGTGCATACAAGGATCCTTCCAGCCCTTATCTTGCATCAAATTACAATCCCTTAGCAGCCATTAGCTGTTTCGGACGTTCAAGCATCTGGCCTCCCATTGCTACTTTCCCTGAGCATCTGAACCGCCTATAGCGCCACTGCACACTCCATGCGCCTTCCCACCTGTTGAGTTGACTCCTGTGCATCTGCCTTTCCCTGTCAACCCGCCTTTCCCTCTCAACCTGCTTTTCCCTGTCAACCTGCTTTTCTCTGTCAACCTGCTTTTCTCTGTCAACCTGCTTTTCTCTGTCAACCTGCTTTTCTCTGTCAACCTGCTTTTCTCTGTCAACCTGCTTTTCTCTGTCAACCTGCTTTTCTCTGTCAACCTGACTCTCCCCCAATGTTTACCTTTCCCTCTCAACCTGCCTTTCCCTCTGAGACTTTCTGTCCCTGCCAGTCTCCCTTTCCCTGTGTGTGTACCTTTCCCTCTCAACCTGCCTTTTCCTGTACCTCTACCTTTCCCTGTCAAACTGCCTTTCCCTGTGTGTATACCTTTCCCTGTCAACCTGCCTTTCCCCGTGCATCTGCACAGCCTCTAACGCCACTGCCCACTCCTCCATGCTCCTCCCTTTGCGTTGAGACTCACAAGACATTCTCTCTCGTCTGCCATTCCCCCCTGCGTCTGTGTATTCCTGTCAACCTGCCTTTCCCTCTCCATCTACCTTTCCCTCTCCATCTGTGCAGCCTCTAGTGCCACTGCCCACTCCTCCATGCTCCTCCCCTCCACTGTCACCCATGGGATGATCCCAAGGGCCGGCTGCTTCCACCAATGGGAGACCTGCAGTATCAGAATGAAGGGGAAGGGGGCACACGAAACATCTTCTAAGTTTGTCGAACACACGGAATGATCCCAACGGCCGGCTGCTTCCACCGATGAGATACCCGCATGATCAGAACGACGGGAGTGAGGGTGCAGGGAAGTTTTTGTGTGTTCTGAGAGGCGAATCTCTCACCAGGTGAGAGGCGAATCACTCACCAGGTGAGAGGCGTCGTCGTGGGTGCGAGACACGAGCTGCCTTGACTTCCCCTGTAGCTGTGCCAGCTGCGGCAGCCACTCCGACAAGCTATCAGGTGTGTTTTAGACACAGCAAGCAGTTGAATGCACTCACCAGGAAGGTCAGACGCGTCGTGGGTGCGAGACACGAGCTGCCTTGATCTGCCCCTGCAGCTGTGCCAGCTGAAGCAACCATAATAACAGCCCTTCCCTTGCCACATGCTATAAGGTGAGTTCCAGGGACAGAGAGTAGTTGAATCACTCACCAGTTCAGAGGCGTCATGAGTGCATGAGACGAGTTGCCTTGACTGCCCCTTAAGCTGTGCCAGCCGTGGCAGCTGAGGCAGCTCCACGCACCACATTAAGCAGACGTATTGACCCATGGCAAGTAGATGAATGGACTCACCAGTTCAGAGGCGCTCTGAGTGCGCGAGACGAGCTGCCTTGCCTGCCCCTGCAGCTGTGCCAGCTGCGGAAGCCACTCCGATAACACCTCCATATGCTGCTGCTCCGCCTGCTGCTGCAGCCCAGCGAGTTGCCTGGATGGGGGATGAGGGGATGGGAAAAAGGCAGACAGGGAGAGAAAGGAGAGTGTGGGAAGCGAGGGGAAGTAGCCACTCGGATAGCACCTCCATATGCTGCTGCTCCGCCTGCTGCTGCAGCCCAGCGAGTTGCCTGGATGGGGGATGAGGGGATGGGAAAAAGGCAGAAAGGGAGAGAAAGGAGAGTGTGGGAAGCGAGGGGAAGCAGCCACTCGGATAGCACCTCCATGTGCTGCTGCTCCGCCTGCTGCTGCAGCCCAGCAAGTTGCCTGGATGGAGGGTCGGGGAATGGGAAAAAGGAGAAAAGAGAAAGAGAGCAGGGAGAGCGAGCAAGGTCAGGCAGCCACTCTGCTCGCACCTCCTGCTGCTGCTCTGCTCCACCTGCTGCTACAAGGTGACTTTTGAGCCGACTCAAAAGTCACTTCGTCAGGCAGACACTCTGCTCGCACCTCCATGTGCTGCTGCTCCGCTCCACCTGCTGCTACAAGGTGACTTTTGAGCCGACTCAAAAGTCACTTCGTCAGGCAGACACTCTGCTCGCACCTCCATGTGCTGCTGCTCCGCTCCACCTGCTGCTACAAGGTGACTTTTGAGCCGACTCAAAAGTCACTTCGTCAGGCAGACACTCTGCTCGCACCTCCATGTGCTGCTGCTCCGCTCCACCTGCTGCTACAAGGTGACTTTTGAGCCGACTCAAAAGTCACTTCGTCAGGGAGACACTCTGCTCGCACCTCCATGTGCTGCTGCTCCGCTCCACCTGCTGCTACAAGGTGACTTTTGAGCCGACTCAAAAGTCACTTCGTCAGGGAGACACTCTGCTCGCACCTCCATGTGCTGCTGCTCCGCTCCACCTGCTGCTACAAGCCACATGCATGCATCTGCATCCACCAATCACACCTTCCCACCGTTATGCACCACTCTGACATCCCACAGCCCCATGCACCAAACCAGCTTACCGTGCCATGCTGGCGACAGCTGGCTCCAGCTCTGCAGCGCTGCCAGCTGCCACGTCAGCAGCTGCTGACATGGCATCCACAAACTGAGCCACTGCCAGGAGATCAGTGCTCAAAGACACTGCTGACGTCACCCCCCTCCCTCCTCCTCCTCCTCCACCTCCCCCTCCCCCCTCAATCCCACTTCTTCTACCCTCCACTCTCACTCCTCCCACCTCATTTTCCCTCGTCCTCTCCCCCTCTTCCCCAGCCCTCCCCCTCCCCACACTCCCCCCCCCAGTGCAACCCCAAGCATGAGCAGCCAGCTCACTCCCTGTCCCACCGTCTATCCTGCCACCTGTCGCCGCATCATTGGCTTCCCAAGCTGCCCGAAGAACCTGGGCAGCCTCAGCAGCCAATGGAAGAATCGGGTCACTATCAGAAGAAGGTGTAGGTGCATTGGAGGAGGAACGGGAAGAGGAAGGGAGTGATGGGAGGGGGAGAGGGGAGGGGGAGAGAGCGAGAGAGTGAACGAGAGAGGAGAGAAGGGGCCAGAGTACAGTATCAGCAGCAGCTGTACCACCAACACCACCAACACCAGCAGCACCAGCAGCAGCAGCAGCAGCAGCAGCAGCAGCAGCAGCAGCAGCAGCAGCAGCAGAGGCAGAAGAAGCAGATGAGTGTTCCTGCCCCTGAAGCTGTTCCTGTCCATGTTCGTGTCCCAGCCCCTCGCCCTCCCCCTCAACAGCCGCCGATGGAAAGCTAAAGCTACTTCGTGCCTGTGCCTGTGCCTGTGCCTCCCTCTCAGAGGACAGTGATGGGTTTTGAGGCGTCTGAGACGTCTGAAGTATCTCACTACGCAACGGAAAGCTACAGGAGACCGGGCGGCACAGCCAGGAGGGCGGCAGCGCCACGCCAGCTGTCACCTCGTGAGTGGCCAGATCCCATGCCGCTCGAACCGAGCCAATGAGAGCGCTTCCAGCCTTTGCCACGTGTCCTGCCAGGGCCTTTTGAGTCTGCCCATTTGTGAGGTTCCACCACATGTGTGCATAGGCCTGATGGGAATTGAGGGGGGGGGGGGGGGGGGGGGGGGGGGGGGGGGGGGGGGGGGGGGGGGGGGGGGGGGGGGGGGGGGGGTGCCGAGAGATAAGAGGGTGGATGAGGGGGATTGGATAAGTCACTAGCTTCCAATGCTGTCTCCCCATTGGAGGGTTCCCCCACATGTGCGCATAGGCCTGATGGGGTGTGGGGTTGCAGAGGAAAGGGGGTGTCCGAATGGGTATTCACAGAGTACGAAGGGTGAATGGGGGTGAGTCCTGTCAGGGCATTCTGAGTCGTCCATTGGTGAGGTTCCACCACATGTGGGCATAGGCCTGTTAGGGAGGGGAGTGTAGAAATCACGAGGCACAGATGCGTTTGGAGGGGTTTAGATACGTTGTGCGTGCACTCCTGATGCAGTCTCCCCATTGGTGAGGTTCCACCACATGTGGGCATAGCCCTGGTAGGGAGCACGGAGGAAGCGGGACGAATGGGTATTCACAGAGTACGAAGGTGTGAATGGGGTGAGTCCTGTCAGGGCCTTTTGAGTCGTCCCATTGGTGAGGTTCCACCACATGTGGGCATATGCCTGATGGGAAGGGGAAGAGGGCGCGGAGATGAGAATTACAAAGTGGGCACCAGGGGGGCCACATAAGCCCCAGCTCTTCTGCTGCCTTCAAGTCGCCCTGTTGGTGAGGCTCCACCACTTGTGGGCATAGGCCTGAACGGAAAGGGCGGCTGTGGGTGCAGAAAACGCGAGATACAGATGGGTTTGGAGGGGTTTAGATACGTTGTGTACTCCTGATGCCGCCTCCCCATCCACCACATCTGGGCTTAGGCTTGATTGGGGGTCGCTAAGGAAGAGGGAAGTGTGTGTGTTTGTTTGTTTCTCTCACTTGGTTCAACCAATAACGCCCAACAGCTAAGCAAACTCTGCAGTTACCATTGGGAATTAGCAGATTGCTTTTTGTTTTGTTTTGATTTTTTTCTATTACACCACTTTCCCAAACCAAGTGAATGATGTGTCCAGACAGGAGCAAGGGACATAGACAGGGCATACCTGGTTTATCCTCTTATAAGCTCGTTACTCCGCCACCCTCTATTGCTGCGCTCGTCATTGAAACCCTTGATTCGCTCCCACTGCTGCAGCACTCTGCGATTCGTGGCTCCTGCTGCTGCCACCTCACTGCAATGGGGGATAATTACGACAAAAGAAGTACAATGGGGCAAGATGGAAAGAGGTGATTGCATCATCCGCCGATAGACTCTGCTGCAGCAGCCGGGATGGAGCAGAGGCTGGGACTGCTGAGAATTCTCAGAAGCAGCCGGGATGGGACAGACAGAGGCAGGACTTGTCACTTGTACTATGTACCACCCCACCCGCCTTGACAGACAGTCGCTTTCTGCTGCTTGAAGCACCCTCAGCTCTGCCTCCCCACAGCTATCCCCAACCCCACAATTTCAAGCCACTCACCTCCGCACTCTCACTCACCCACCTTCACAATATGCACTCTATCACCTAGAAAGGCATATTTCGCAGCTTGAAACACCTGCCGCTCTGCCTCTCCCACAGCTGTCACCAACCAAGCACGTCTATGTGCGTGTGCCCGTAATTTGCATGCGCTCTCACCTTGACAACCCGTTTCTTCCGTTGCCTGAAGCACTTGCAACTCTGCCTCTGCCACAGCTATCCCCAACTCCACATCCTCCAGCCTCTCACCTCCGCACTCCCGCCCACCTTCACATAGTATAGAATATGCCAATATCCCACCTTCACATAGTATAGAATATGCCAATATCCCACCTTGATAGTCGCTTCTCCGCTGCTTGCAGCACCCTCAACTCTGCCTCCGCCATAGCTATCCCCAACTCCAACTCACCTATCCATGTGTATGTGATTTGCATGCGTGAGTGCGCTATCCCACCTTGATAGTCGTTTCTCCGCTGCTTGAAGCACCCTCAACTCTGCCTCCGCCATAGCTATCCCCAACTCCACATCCTCCTCACCACCCACTCCCCCTCCCCTCCCTCCTCCTCTCCCTCCTCCCCTCCCTCCACCTCTCCTCTCCTCGCCTCCCTCCTCCCCCCTCTTCCCTGCCCCGTCTCTGTCCCGTCTGTTAGATTGATCACTGGTCCTCCTTTCCACCTCCAGCCTCACTGCGTCAGCTCTCTTCCTCAGCACTTGCGTCTGCAGGCACAGGTCGCGATACTCCTTCTGCCAGAGGGGACGTAGAGGGAGTGAGAGAGAAAGGAGGGAGTGAGCGTGTTTGCTTCAGCAGCGGTCCTCCTTTCCACCTCCAGCCTCACTGCGTCAGCTCTCTTTCGGAGCACTTGCGTCTGCAGGCACAGGTCGCGATACTCCTTCTGGCAGAGGGGCCAAAGAGAGGGAGAAACGGAGGGAAGGGGGAAGAAACGTCTCTTACTCAGCACTTGCGTCTGCAGGCACAGGCCGCGGTACTCCTTCTGCCAGAGGGCAATGGAGAGAAAGAGCGAGGGAGAGGGAGAGGAGAAACGGAAGGACAAGGGGGGAGAAACGATGGCCGCTGTGTTCCTTCTCAGCACCTGCGTCTGCAGGCAGGTCACCGTACTCCTTCTGGCAGAGGGACATCGAGAGAGGGAGTGAGGGAGGGAGCGAGGGAGGGAGTGAGAGAGGGATGGGAAGGGAGAAGGGAGCCTCGGCTCTCCTTTTCAGCACCTGCGTCTGCAGGCACAGGTCGCGATACTCCTTCTGACAGAAGGAATCGGGGGGGGTGAGAGAGGGAGGGAGTGAGCCTACTTGCTTCAGCAGAGGTCCTCCTTTCCACATCCAGCCTCACTGCCTCACTGCCTTCTTTTGGAGCACTTGAGTCTGCAGGCGCAGGTCGCGATACTCCTTCTGGCAGAGGGAGCATAGAGAGAGGGAGGGAGGGAGTGAGGGAGGGAGTGGGGGAGGGAGTGAGAGAGGGGTGGGGAGGGAGAAAGGGGGCCTCGGCTCTCCTTTTCAGCACCTGAGTCTGCAGGCACAGGTCGCGATACTCCTTCTGGCAGGCGGAAAAGGGAAGCCGCAGGATAGGAACATAAGATAACGAAAGGGTGTCTGCATCACGGAAAGCAAGGGCACGAGTAGAGAAAGACTCTCCTCTGGCGGCTTCGGCTCTCCTTTTCAGCACCTGAGTCTGCAGGCACAGGTCGCGCTACTCCTTCTGGCAGGCGGAAAAGGGAAGCCGCAGGATAGGAACGTAAGATAACGAAAGGGTGTCTGCGTCACGGAAAGCAAGGGCACGAGTAGAGAAAGACTCTCCTCTGGCGGCTTCGGCTCTCCTTTTCAGCACCTGAGTCTGCAGGCACAGGTCGCGCTACTCCTTCTGCAAGAGGTAAAGGGGTTGTTGCAGAGTAGAAAGGTCAAAAATACTTTTGAGGCGCCTCAAAAGTCCCACTACTCCTTCTGCAAGAGGGAAAGGGGTTGTCGCAGAGTAGAAAGGTCAAAAATACTTTTGAGGCGCCTCAAAAGTCCCACTACTCCTTCTGCAAGAGGGAAAGGGGTTGTCGCAGAGTAGGAAGGTAAAAAAAAGCGGAAGGACGTTTGTAATGAAGGATGCAGATAACGAAAGGACGCTTCATCAGCATCTAGCCATCGGCCAACACACTTGCCCTTCTCACTTGCCTCGCCAGCACCAGCTCCTGTGTTGACTGCAGCGCCTGGTGCTGCTGACTCAGTGCAGTAGCAGTGAGATCTACTCACCCACACCCACCCATCGACCAACACACTTGCCCTTCTCACCTGCCTCGCCAGCACCAGCTCCTGTGTTGACTGCGGTGCCGGTCGCTGCTGACTCGCCCCAGCCCTTGCTCCTCGCCCTGTGCTGCCACCAACCCCAGCAGCAGCAGCAGTGGCAGCAGCAGCACCACCACCATCTGCACCTGCCTCTCTTACCTGTCTCGCCAGCACCAGCTCCTGTGTTGACTGCGGTGCCGGTCGCTGCTGAATCGCCCCAGCCCTTGCTCCTCGCCCTGTGCTGCCACCAACCCCAGCAGCAGCAGCAGTGGCAGCAGCAGCAGCACCACCATCTGCACCTGCCTCTTACCTGTCTCGCCAGCACCAGCTCTTGTGTAGACTGTGGCCCCTGGCGCTGCTGAATCGCCCCAGCCCTTGCTCCTCGCCCTGTGTAAACATCGAGAGGTAAACTTCCTTTTCACACTCTTACCTGTCTCGCCAGCACCAGCTCTTGTGTAGACTGTGGCCCCTGGCGCTGCTGACTCAGTGCAGTAGCAGTGAGATCTACTCACCCACACCCCACCCATCGACCAACACACTGCCCTTCTCACCTGTTCTCGCCAGCACCAGCTCCTGTGTAGACTGCGGCCCCTGGCGCAGCTGACTCAGAAAAGCACCTGCCTTGCCTTGCCATGCTCTCACGCTTACCTTCTCGCCAGAACAGCTCTTGTGTAGACTGCGGCCC